TATATTTGGAAGATAAATTGTTGAAGTTACGAAAAGTGATTTTTTGATGACTGTAAAGAATATTATTTATTCTATTAAAATGTATGAAAAACAGGAAATAAGGATTGACTCAATATTGGCTTGAGCAACTCAAATGTTAATCAAGTGATAATCCTTTGCACTCGAGAGGTGAACTTCAGGTCACCGCTCGATTTGATATTAAGTTCCGCGTGAAGCGTTAATACGTGAAATATCGAAATAAAAATACCTATCGGAAATATCTCGTCGGAAGATGTTGGATATTTCCAGTGGAAAGCTTTCGAGTTCAAAGGATGAAGTGTTGCTTTAGTCGTGAACGGATTAATTGCCACGGGAAGTTGCGATTTATATTTTTGCAAGAGGCTAAGTGGAAATAGACTCGCGCAGGCGACATTATAATTTTGTTTGACATTTATGGCGCTCCATCGGATTATTCTTCGACATATTCGGTGACTATAAATTGAACGGTCGTTTTGAATAAGTTATCGCGTTACATAATCCGCCGATGAATTCCGTATGAATAATTTCTATAAATTGTGCCATTATGTCACTCGATTCGATTGACACAGCGGTTAACTTGTTAAATGTAAATCTCGATCAAATTTCACTCGTAAATTATCGGTTTTCCATTCGCTCTTAAGCATTTCCGGCACATAGTTTTCGTAGTTTAATCACCGCAACCACGTCTAGACTACTTTCAGCGTTTATCACTAGTCAATTAAATCAACAAACCCGCATAGCCACTGGAACTTCGAAACGTTGCCTAAAAACAAACCTATATCTTCGGAATTCCAAAAAATTGCGCGAAAGAATCAACGTCTCCAGAATTCCATACAAAATTAGCTCTTCGCACTCGACAATATTTTTCATTAAAAATATTACTTTCTGACAAAGTATTAACGATATTTTTCGCAACTAACACAACTGATTATCTTATATAAATTAAGAGACAGAACTATTTTACTTCGATGCTTTATGTGCTACAGTACACAAGGTTTAACACTAGAACTACCGAGCATTTAATACGATTAATATGCAATTCCTATAAAAATTGTAACAATAGATTATTTTCAATTTCTTCAAACATTTGTTACAGTATTGAAATGAAACTATTTATTTTTAAAATCATTTCGAATATTCAATGCTTCGAAGATATTAATAATTACTAAACAAACAAATCGAAACCAGTCATTCTGACTGGTACGGTAGTTCTAGTGTTAAAATATATTACATAACAATATGATATCTGAGTTTTTCTATGTATAGTGATATAAGTTCACCTCAGTGAAAATTGCCATCACAATTTAGTTTTCTGAAAATTAGCCGGTACGCAATGTGTTAACAATAAAACTATCGGAGAGGTAAAATTGACTCATCTCAGAATTTCTATTTTGTTCTAGTGTTAATATCAAATTGAAAATTTTATAAGTTCGCTGCATCGAATCAGACGACAGATAGTCACCTCTCGAGTGCAAAGGGTCAACAAATCTCGAAAACCCCGGAGACAAAGGAAATCAAGAAATCCGCGAAATCTCGCGGCAGAGTTGAAGCGAACTAATCTCTCGGCGCATGGCGTTTCATTGGAAAACCAAGCCAGGGCAGATAGAGAAAGACGGAGAGGGCGGTTTATCATCCGCGGGAACCCGGGATAGGGTACGAGGAAGATGTGGAAGGGTTGGAGGGTAGAAAAAGCTCGTAACTTTCGAGAAAATTGCGGCAGCGCAGGTAAATCGCGCGTCGTTTATTTGCTTTGTTCCCGGCGGCGCGTTTTTTCCTCGGCGCCGCCGGCGCGATTTATGCGTGTCGCCGTTGTTGATAACAATGTTGCGGCATAATACTCGCCGCGGAGTGGTCACGTGGCCTCGCGGAACCAGTTCCCGGGTTGGAACACACGGATACGCGGACGGGGCAGGGGTGTGCGCGTGACACCCATCGATCCAGGGCGAATTTAGCTCGATTAAATTACCGCCGGCCGGGACGCTAATTATCGTCCGATCGAATTACCCGGCTGAAAAGAAACGGGGTCCGGGGCAACCGTAGCTCTTTACTTGTTGCTTCGGGAGGATCCCGGTTTTTTTCGGGAACCGGCCACCTGCGAGTATACTGGGTGTTTCTGGTAAAAGGAGTTATTGTACGTGGAAGATTCTGTGGGAGATGAGTTTTGATTATGAGGTGTTTAACCTTTAGCACTCCAGGGTGTTTTGTAATCTACCAGTGACTGCAACTAATTGTTATATATTGTAAATATTTAGTAAAGTATAATAATTGACGACAAAAAAGCAATATTTCGTTTGAATTCGCAAGAATTGGGAATATTTCTAATCTTTTATTTTCCTTAGTACAAAATTTGGATGTGTGGAGAATCTAATAATTTTAGGGTAGTTTCTTTAAGATTCATTAAAATATTTAACCCTTTGCACTCGAGAGTTGACTCTCAGTCACCACTTGATATTTAGTATTATACTTCATATAATGCATAAATCTGAGAAATATTGACGTAAAATAGTTTTGTCAATTCGCGTGAATTTCTCTTCGAGTTGGTTTTACAAAATATCGTCTTGTTGAAATATTTCTAGTGAAAAACCTCGGAGTGCAAAGGGTTAATATTATAACTGGGGCAATATCGGAGCCTACAGAGTTCAAAGGGTTAAAATTTGGATATTTCTATAGTGTCACGTTGCATTATTAATTTCATACGGTTCTCACGCGGTCTCGCGTTTGTTTCATATGAAATGGCAAAAGTTTCTTTTCTACTGCAATTTCGAAGAGTCAAGTGGCACTTGGCCAAACGAATGCTTCCTTTTTCCAAGTTTCTTAAGATAAGGAACGTTGAGTTAATGTTTCTCAGGCCGAAACCGACCCCACGCCTCGCGAGTTCTTCAGAGACTTCCGTGAAAGTAACTTCCCGCGCTCGCGTTAAGAATTATTTCAAAGCAAACCCCCTGTTCGTGCTACACATTTAATTATGCTGTAACCCCTTGCGTGGAACGTTATACATAATGCCCTTATTTACGGACTCGTAACAATCATTCCGTGTTCTATACGGTACATTTATAAACGAAGTCACAATCGAACTTATCAGTTCATTTGCAAACAACCCATTTTCTCGCGAAAGCTTCACCCTTAACGAAGTGTTTCAAGTTATCAAGAAATACCGTAACATAGATAACAATCAGAAATAAAGAGAAGTAACCAATCGCAATACTTAACGCGTTAATTACAAACATCACAACAACTAAGAATATAACTATATTTAACTATATTTAATAGAACTATATTTAACTGTATTTAATAGAGCTATATTTGACTATATTTAATAGAGCTATATTTAACTATATTTAATAGAGATATATTTAACTATATTTAATAGAGCTATATTAAACTATATTTAATAGAACTATATTTAACTATATTTAACTATATTTAATAGAACTATTGTCCAATAATTCAGTTCTTTGAACAGTGAAGTGAGTGGAAGATTACAGATAGACGAAGTTTTGAAGTTATCAAATTTGTTTAACGTTTCGCTATCGAGGAGAATTAAGTTAATAGAACTACTGTGCAATGATTCAATGTTCTTAGGTCAAGGAATGTTCAGTATCTATTTCCTCGTTGATCGATCGATCAATACGGTTTCTATCGAAAATCTGCGAAACGGCGTTAGATCTCAGCAAAGCGTCAACATTCATTCTCAAAGGCTTAACAATCCCTCTCCAAACAAAAAAACGAATTCCACATTAACTCGACACTCACCCTAACTCCCAAGCACCGCCGAAAACTACCAACAGTTCTCAAACGTCACACACCAGCTGCTACCACCGAAAACCCAACTACCCAATCAGTCAATCACGAAAGTTCCGTCGCAACCGGTATTCCCGGATCGCGCGGCGACTGGCCACCGGCCAGGAACACCATGGAAAATCGGCGGGAAGCAATCTGTACCCGCAAAAACTCGA